CAAGGCCAGGTTGGATGGGGCTTGGAGCAACCTGGTCTGGTGGAAGGTGTCCCTGCCCATGGCAGGGGGGTTGGAACTGGGTGAGCTTTAAGGTCCCTTCCAGCCACACCATTCTATGATTCTGTGATGATTCTATGTCCTCCCGCAGTGTGACACACGAACTGCTTTTAGGGCCTTCATCGCATCCTTCCTCACCCTGCTCGCTGGTGTTCTCACATAGTCAGCGTGTTGTTTCCCCGGGTGCAGTACGGACGGCAGTGGCAGCCCTGACTACGCAGTTGCAGACATTCCCAGTGGGCACCATTCCCCCTGGAAGAGGAACCACAGCAATGCCCTCTTTCAGCGCGCTCTGTTAACTGGTATTGCTGGAGGTCACAGCTTGGGCCCTCCCTGCGCTAGCTGCTACCGTGTCCTGATTGCCGGCCCTCCCCTTGCTGCCATGTCCTTGATGGCAAGCTCTCTGAGGAAAAGATTCTCCTTTTACTACACGTTCCTACTTGCCTGGCATATTAGTTGAAGAGTAACAGCTGCAGCAAGAACAACAGGATCTAACAGTTAATCACACCATGCAATAAATATGAAAGTACTGCCAGGTGCTCACAATGTACTATTGACCTTGATAACTGCCTCCCTTTTTCTGCAATATTCTGTTTGACCATTGTTGCTTTTACTGTTAAAATATTTTCTCATTATGACTGTTATTATTGTCTTATTTTTCTCATTGGTTAGCAAGTTCTCTTCAGGTGTGTGCTGGGTTTGGCTGGGGTAGAGTTAATTTTCTTCATAGTAGTTGGTATGGGGCTGTGTTTTGGATTTGTGCTGAAAACAGTGTTGGTAATTCAGGGATGTTCTCATTACTGCTGAGCAGGGCTTACCCAGCCCCAAGGCTTTTGCTGCCTCTCACCCCGCCCCACCAGCGAGGAGGCTGGGGGGGCACAAGGAGTTGGGAGGGGACACAGCCGGGACAGCTGACCCCAATGACCCAAGGGATATCCCATACCATATGGCGTCATCCTCGGCATATAGAGCTGGGGGAAGAAGAAGGAAGGGGGGACGTTTCGAGTGATGGCATTTGCCTGCCCAAGTCACCGTTAGGCGTGATGGAGCCCTGCTTTCCCAGAGATGGCTGAACACCAGCCTGCCCGTGGGACATGGGGAATGGATTCCTTGTTTTGCTTTGCTTGTGTGCACAGCTTTTGCTTTCCCTGTTAAAGTGTCTTTATCTCAACCCATGAGTTTTCACACTTTTACCCTTCCAGTTCTCTCTCCCATCCCATTGTGGGGGGAGTGAGCAAGCAGCTGGGGGGGGCTGAGCTGCTGGCTGGGGTTAAACCACGACAAGGTGTATCTCCTATTTTCTCTCCTGTTGAAGGTACAGGCTATTCATTATTATTCCTTCCTGAAACTCACCTGTTCTGCACTATCCTCCTGCCCCAAGGAAACAGTCTTAACTCTCTGAGTTCCTATTTCCTCTCTGGATTTTGAATAATAATTCTTCACCTTCTGGGCATGAGTTTCCTGTGCCAGTTCACCTTAAATCCAAGTACAATTTAAATTCCTGAGTAAATAGCACTGTACCAGCCTAAAACAAAGCACATCTTGAATTAACTTACCTTTGTAACCTATCAGCACAACTTCTTGGATGTGACTCAGGTTAAAGGTTTAAGAATGCCCACACACAGTGGATTTAAATTCATGCCCTAAACCACTTCAGTTTTCTTTATGGACCAGGCCTGAGAGCTTATAGACACAGAGTAAGTTACTTGTAATAAAATATTGCTGTAGTTACCGCTATTTCAAACATAAGCAATGTGCTTCTTTAAGGAGAACTCCACAAGTATGAAATACCCACGAAAACAAAAAAACAATGCGACTTTATACATTAGAACATATTTTATATAGGCATCTGCAGCATTGCTTCTTGGCTAATGGCCAGCAAAACCATTAACAGCAACTAATGGCACAGAAGGAAATTTTCTTCCAGTCCTATTTTCTAATTGCTAGGAAAGAAAACTAAAAATAGACTAGACTTTACAAGTTTGGGGGCCAGAATGCAAAAGCTGGGAGAGCTCTATTAACTTCTAGATGCTCTATGGCTTTACAGTCTCTGAAGGTCTGGCTCACTGATTTCGTCAGAGGAAAGATTAAAAATGAAGCAAAAGAAGGAGATTTGACTCCAGCTATGCACTAGTTTTCTTTGTATTTTAGAAAGACTTAATTATTTTTCTCTAGTTGTAATATAAATGGTCATCAGAAATTGAATGCTTCGCTCCCTGCTTACAATGGGTAATTATACAAATGCTCCATGACTTTTAGAATATTTAATAAAGAAATTGGGAGTCAATTTTAAGCATGCCTTTCAAACATACCCTGACCAAATTGCATGGATTCCTCTTTTTCATGATGTATGTCTAGTCTCTTTCCATGCCACTCCAAACATCCATTAACCCTCCTCAACTCACATAGTTTGTATCTGTCCAGTTCCCCCAGACAATCCATTGATTAAATCTTCTTAAAGAGGAGATGCTGAATTTGCAGCTCATGGTAATTCCTCTGTTTAATCTCTCTCCTGAGCCTCCCTTTGAAGACGAGACACGATCCCTTCTTCACCCTCCTCTCAGATTTCCACTTTCTCCTCATCGCTGTCCCCAGGCATTGCCTGCAGTTCACATCACCAGCCGGTTTTGGAGATCCCACCCGCTCCCGACTCTGCGATGCAGAGGCAGGTCGCACACCTCTGTCACCCTACTCCTATGTCAGCTCTGTGGCCTAAGGACCATGTCACACAGGCACAGATTTTGCCTTCAATTAGATTTCATGTGGCAACCGGGTGGCTCGCAGTGCAATTTAAGACCTGATTTTGTCTGATAACTTTTTCTTAAAATAATGTTTTCATCAAGATTTATGATATGTCAATATAACTTGCTATAGGATTGAGATCTGGCACAAGGCTTTTGTTTAAAAACTACATGGAGCACTTCCTCTTGTGGTGGAGCTGGGTTTATTTGTTGATTTTCAGGTACAGAACTGTATTTCACGGCTCACTCAGTGTCAGTACAAAAGCCAAATCCTACCTTCTTTTAATAACGTGCCACTGCTTTCATAAAAGGAAGTTGTATAATTTCTCCGGCACAATGAGGAAACGCATACAGCAATTAAGTTTCGTAAAGCTTTGTACGATTTCAGTACAGATGATTCATTATGACCTGCTAAACGTAAAAGCTGCAAACATGAGAAAAGAGCAAAAAGGGCTTTTATTTTTTTCCTCTGGTGACCCTTTTCAAATTTGTTAGTTTAGATGCTACCTGTCCTGAATCAGAAATCCATCATAAGAAATGTGAAGTCATAACTTAGACTTAAACATTTTTCCTGGACCAGGACATACAAGTGCTGAGCAGTAATATAAAGAAAAGGAACACAAAGGTGGCATTGCTGTCTCTAATTCTTACCACTCTGACTCTTACAGTAGCATTTACAGACCTTGAGTTGGGCAGTTAAGCAAGCTCTGAGTAGAGGAGGGGAAGGGAAACTTGAAGAAAACATGACTGAACTTGGTGCATCTCTCAGCTGTAGATTTTAGTGCAGCTGTAAAAGCGGATTTATGGACTTTTGGACTCAAATCATCCCTTTAGGTAAAATCAGCTCACCTACAGTTTCAAGACACAGAGGACAGTGGCAATGCTCCTTCCATTTTGCAGAGAAGAGCTCCATCAGAGGAACTAGATGTCTGGGATTTTAGACTTTATCCAAAACGACTCAAGACCATAGCTTCTTGATTCTCCTACCACCAGGGAGACCCGCCGTCGAGAATGGAGGATGGGCGCACAGACCCAGTTAATGGGAGCTCAGTAGGAAGGTTGGGAGGTCATGGGCTCCAGTGTAAGTCCCCCTGATTATTTCTGCTTTTTTTTTTTTTTTTTTAGCAAATGCTTCTCTGTACATCGTATAGGTAGACACCCTGGAAAAAGCTGGGAGCGAAACACACGGCCTCTCTTTCCTGCTAGCCAGCAGGCTACAAAGTCAGGCTCCCTTTACCTTTTATCCCAGTTTCTAGATTCCTATCTGCAGTGCTGGTCCAGCTTCAGTGTCAAGAGTGGTCCACCAATTTGGGCACCCTCTGGCAAGGCAGGAGTGGGGAATGGAGTTTAAATGCTCTACAATGAAGCCTCCCACTTGCTGAACCACAAGAATATTGTGTACATTCTTGCCGTCCCATACTTGCAAATAAAAGACATGCTTACAGCACCCCTGCCTGAAGAGTCCTCTGGATTTGTACCTACAAGGATGCCTCCTTTATTAACCTAAAACAACTGTAGGCGGGTGATAAGTGCCTACGTATTGAAACTGGTTGAAGGAGCAGGAGTTATGGACCATCATAGCAACTGACTTTACACACTTTTGCAGAGACAAAACCTGAGATGTCAAGAATTTCCCAAATGCTGAAAATGTCCACTAAAAATCCTTTTGACTTAAGTACTTGTTTAGGCATCTTCAGTGACACTTAGGTGCCCTAAAAATGCCTTTCTGTTTTTTAACTCTTTCCTGGAATATCTCAGCTACTCTGAGGTCAAAAGCTCTAGGTAAGTTGAAGTTACCAATCTGGGCACTCATGTGCCAAGCATGTCCTTCCTTCCGCATTTCTTTTTTCTGGATGCAGGCCATAGTAGAGAACAGAGGAAGGCACTATCAGCTTCCACCCATAGCCCTGCATGTGCCCAACTACTGTCATTTAAATCCATGTCCAAACCTCTACAAAGATCATGTTTCCCTCTTTCCTGCAGTGCTTTGTTGGAAAGAAAGCAGCTTGATATAAACATATAATAATTTGAGTCTTCTCTGAACCACTAAGTACCTTGATACAGCGCTTGAAAGTGATATGAGAACAAGTGCGCTGGTCCCAAAAGGAAAATTGTGGTTTGGTTCATATAAGAGCTTTGTTATTTTCCCTGGAGCAGTGCACAAAGGGCCCTAGAGATGCAAACATTGCTCTTCTCTGCTCCTCATATGACTAATGGCCTGGCTGGTGCCATTGTTTCTGTCTCTTCTTCTGACTCATACCTCTCTACTTCTCCCACAGTGAATCGAGACTTTGGCATTAGAGCTAGATTGTCTGCTCTGGTGAAACGATGCTGGCTGATTGAATTTCCTCTTTGACCGGACAGATTGGATGGGCCCGCTCGTCTATCCAAGTGTGCCATTGGAATCAGTTCTTCCTGGCGGTGCTTTGCTTCGTGTGGCCGTAGTCGGGGCTGGGGTCTGAACATTACTGGGAACTCAGCATCAGAGCCACCTCTGTGATGATCTGAAGGAAAATAGACAAATAATTTCTATTCTGAAGAAGAGAAAAAGGAAACACCATGGTATTGGCAAGGACAGTTAAAGGGTATTCAATACAATACAGTTTTATGGTTTCAAACTCTGGAACCAAAGCATTTTAAATAATTACTACAGAATAAGAGAACAGTTAAGAACTAAAAATAACCCTAAATTTTTATTTTCATCCCAAAGCTGATGTTTAAAAGATTTTATTGATCTTGCCTCTACCTTGAAACCCCAGCGAATAAGCACATGCAGTTATATTTTAGTGCCTCGCAGAGCTGCTCAATGCCTTCACAGGGCAAGAGTGCTCCTTTACTTAGCTTTCAATTGTCTATGAATTTCACAAGTACACCTAGAACCATGGTTCAAAAGCATTGTGAAACCCACAGCAGAAGACAAAAAAGTGATGAAGAAGACTCTAGTGCCATCGAAAATGAAGTTTATTGGTCACGTATGATTAACAACTGGGAAGAAAACAGTTTCACCTGAAACCAGGGGTTTGACTCTAGGGTGCTTTGATTACATTGGGTGTGTCAGACCTGCTCCTACCAGCTTTCTTTGCCACAAGTACACAATAAAAATTTGCCTGCAATAGGCCAATAACCAGCTTTCTCATTCTGTTGAGTTTATAGAATATACTTTTTCACTTTTCTTAAAGCCACTTTGTAGTCTGACTATGCTCTAGCAAATCAGTTAATTTAAGAAACAGCTCATAACAAGGTAGGAGGTTTTGGGAGACAAACACAAAGGTCTATGAATAATAAAATTAGACTATATCCCACTGCGGTTAAAGCAGACATGTATTGGGTATAGTCACACAGTCAAAATTTATCGAGTTATTGCAGCTTAATAACTATTAAATTATTTTAAGCTAATGTTTACTTCACAGTTGGCACAAAGTAAGAATGTGTGCACCAGCACTTACCTCTACCAAACAGGGACACACATTTCTTTAAGAGCAGAACCTGCTTCTTGTAGACCATGTGGGCATACCACACCATACGCAATAAAATAGGATAGGTTTTCTCAGATTTGAAGGGCTTCTACTTGGCCCTTTGGGAGCATCACTGCTACAAAGTATGAATGATATATACTGTCAAAGAAATAACTCATTTGCATGAATGGCATAAAGAGCTGATAGGTGGTTTAAGGATCTATTTGTGGTCATTTCTGATCTCTTAGTTACTAAACTTTCTGCACATGCTATGTATAAGAGCTAAGCCAAGCTTGCTGGAGGATGCTTGTTCCAGGAGGGCTTCCAGGCATAGACAGAAGAGGTGGCATTTATGCTCTGTCAATGCATACGTGCATATATGAGGCTGTCATTCTAATTTCCTACATACTGAATATTTCTCTTCTCAGTTCCCAAGTGCAATTCCTCTCATCCTAACACAGTTTATGAGGGGGTTTAGGGTGGCTTCCTCCAGCTGCAGACATTTAAAGTGGTGTGAATGCTATGCAATGGACCTAAGATAGGGTCAGAAGCTGGACCAAGAAACCTAATTATTTGGATAGATCACAAGGCAAGATCCAAATTCAGGCCTAGCTATTAGTAAAAATGTACCTGCATTCACCACTTCAGGAATTATTCCTCTCCCTACTGGAGTAATGTGCCTGTCTGCTATAGCAGGACTTGGTCCTTTGAAAGTGTCTGAAATGCCTTTAAGTCTGAGGCTCCTCTGTAGAAGTTTGAGTCCTTTAGAAAGACACATATCCCCACCATGACATTCTGACAAACAGAACAGAAAAGAATGAGCTGTATGAAAGAAAAAAAAAAAATCCCCTTGAGTACCTTTGATTTTCCCCTCTGAATAGGTCCTATGGGTTTCTGTTCTGCTGCCGTCATGTGTGAGCGCCCAGCCCCAGGGGCATGGTTTGCCTACAGAGATCGCTTTTGCTTTCATCTCTTTCAGAGTAAAACAGAAAGGGACTAAAGAAAATAATTTTGCACCTGCAGGAAACAAATTTCGTTGTCCAAGTTTTCGATACAAAGACAGAGATTAAGACTATGGGTTCAATCACTATAGATAATTTTGCCAGAAATGAAAAGGAATTTTTTTAAGGAGCCCATATGCATTTCAGGTCCACATAAATAAACTCAGAAAGGAGTCAGTGAGATTACAGATGAAGACAATAATGAATGTTCAAGTGTCCTAAATTCCATGTTTTCCCTGACACTGTCCTGCCACGTTTCTGTGGGCAATTCAGTGTTGCTCCATCCCTAACCTCTGTCTGCTTACTTAGAGTGTAAGTGGGGATGGGTCTGCCTTTTATTGTGTACAAACAATAACCTGAGACTAGCTGATAACTTTATGCAGTAATACCAGTATTACTACAGAAGTGTTCACAGAGAGCAAGCTGGGAAAAGGGGAGAAGAGACCAGCTGCTTGGGGACAGATTTTTTGTTAGGTTATATGATTAGAGGCTCATCTCCACAAACACGGAGGAGCCCCAAGGCAAAAGGGCCAGGGGGGAGCCCCCAGTACCCCAGTCAGAGGAACGAGCCTGAGCCCCTGCCCTGATCCGTAATGGTGATCAGCGCCATGAGCAGGGTAAGACCCACCATGATGAGCCAACCGAGAGGGTCTCTGTGGGGCACCCCATAGAGTGAGGGGGGGGGTACAGGGCTCGTTATTGGGATGTCTGGGGAGAGCATTTGGGGATCATACAGGACTTATGATGGGATGTTTAGGGGAGGAACCAAAGGCAGGGAAAGGAAGGGATCAGGGTAGTTTGAGGAGCAAGAAGTGCAGGAAAATAGAGGAGAAAAGGGATAAAAAGGGTGGCTCACATGTAAAGAGGGGCTGGTCAGTACATGCGTCTGGCTATGCCCTGTGCCTCATCAGTGTCATCTGTCCTGTTTTGTCATTAAACTCCACTTCTGCTTTCCTGGGTTCCCTACACTGTGTGCATGTGTGTGTAGGCGTGAGTGCCAGGAACTGGAGGGACTGGGGTGTATGCGTATTGTCTGGGTGCCTATGTCAGTGCAAAATCTCTAGCAATCACCAAGTCAGAGTAGCCATCAAGTAAGATAGAGGTTTGGGAACCGAGCATTGGAGCAACTGTGAGTCTGGGACAGAGACTGGGGAGAGCAGGTCTGTGAGTTGACTGCAGGAGGGGGCAGGAGGTCCAGACCAGTGACTGAAGAGGCCATGGGGCCTGTGGTTGGCTACCAGTAAGGCCATAATCTGGAGCAAGTACCAGAGAGACCTACTGGCACATGTGTGTCCCTGTGTGTAAGGCAAAGGGAGACCAGGGGATCCAGAAGCCTGCTATGGAGAAGACTGGGTGCCCAAGGCCAGCTACTGGAGGGTTCTAAAGTGCATGGGGTGGAGTGGAAGAGTGTTTGTGCGTATGTGTGTGTGTGTGTTTGTGTGTGCGCGCGCGTGTGTGTGCGCAGGTCTGAGTACCAGCAGCTGCCATGGGGCTGTGTCCCCAGGGGCTCACATGCCCAAGGGCCACCAAAAGGGCAGATGGAAGGTCCAGGGCCAGCTACTGGGTATAGTGTGTATCTAAGGCCAGCTACTGGGGGATTCAGGTAGCATGTATGTATATATAACGTTCCACTAACAGTCTATTGTCCTGATCAGCCAGGGAGGGGACCAGGATGAGCCCATCGGTGCTGTTTGTGTTTCAATGAGCACTGTGCCCTGTCTGCGCTGCTCTGTGTGTCCAGCCATGTGTACGTATACACTGAATTATGGTGTGGGGGGTGTCTGTTGGGAATTTCTGCTCAGCCTCGCTTCCCACGGGACCTGAGGGCACGGATCTGCAGCACCCTCACCTAGACTGGGCTATGGGTTCAGCAACTCTGAATGATTTTGAGTGCAATTGTGTCTGTGGGGCTGTAGGGAACAGGTAATTTGCTTTCTTGGCCTTACACGGATGACTTCATGGCCAGGCCAAACTGCAGGGATCACAGGAACATTTGTGCAAGAGGGAAAAAGGGAAAACTAGGCGGTGCTGGAACGAGACAGAAACTACCACAGTAATGACCATATAAACAACATAGATAAAAGAGATAGGAGAGAAGGGTGTAGCTCATTTAAAGAGGCCAGGGACTCCCATGGGAGTATTCATTTAGTACTGTTAAATCCACTGCGTAACTGGCCAAGTTTCTTTCGCTGCTGGAGTAAGATACAGAGTAAAAGCACTTCCATTACCTGTAAAAGTAACACGCCTGGTTTTTCGTCTAGTGGGCTGGCTGGGGCCCTGAGGCAAAGAGAGGTAGCGTACACCCGTGGTGCTAGCCTGTGTATGGAGATAGAAGTGTGTTCAGTGCCCATCATTGCCTGCACAATTTACACTTATTTGGTGGGATGGTAAAGAGGGATGCTTATATACCCTTTCTGCTGTGCCTCTGCACCTTTACAGCCAAATTTAGAGAGGCATCAGTAAGATCACTGCTTGGCTTGGATGGTTGAACTCAATGTCAGCTCCAGTGAAAATGTCTCTGTTGGATACAATAGCCCTAGGGTTTTTTTGCAGTCAGTGGAGAGAAATAGGTTTTTGTAAGAGTCACCTCTCCTATTTGAAGTGGCAACTTTAAATAAAGTTAATATACCCAGCAAGAACTTATTTCTCATCCTTAACTATGATTACCTCAGCTGTAAATGTCTATGCTATCCAATGCCTACATTTGGTCAGACAAATCTTACTCTTACTGATCGAAGGCCCAAACTGTCAGTGGAAGGTGTCAAGGGCTTTGCACCAGGCCTTTTGCGAATCCACAAATTCACACAGCTGCAAGAATACTATGCAAGTTATATTATTTTACTACTTACACCCATGGTAGCTCATTTCTGACCAATGTGTAGAGGTAGGACATACAAATGTTGCTGTCCACATGCTGAGTGAAGCTCTTTCTCCCTAGGTGCCACATGAGGACATTGGGGAAAGTATCCATTTTAATTATTGCAAGAAGCATATAAAAATGAGCGTCTCTTTCCTTATTTACAGAGAAGCAGAGGCATATTTCATATGAATAGTAGTTTACAAAACACGTACCTGTCTACCCCAAGGTAAGCTGTTTCCCTTCCTGCAACTCTGCCTCAGGCTGTGCTGCCGACGGATGAGGATTTCTTGGGCTTGTTTCTCATTTGTGTTGGTAGGCAGGCTGTGTCGGCTGTATGTTGGTGCCTGAAACAGAAAAATGCACCCAGTTGATTCTCTTTGCACTTGCAATTTTAATAACCTTGTGCAGTCTGGTTGATCACAAGGCCAAGGGGACATCTGCCACGGCTTGGCCACCGACTCACCACAGCTCTTTGGATATCACATAGGAAAATGCAGCCTCGCACTAACCTTGCTGCTGCAGAGCAAGATGGGAGGATGCGTGGACAGAGCTGTAAGTCTCAGACCTCAAGGGTTATATTTTGATGCCATTTTTTATAGACTCATGCCTGCTTGAAGTGTACCGTAAAGATACAACCACCTACACAAGGCTGTTAACATCTCTGGGCTTGTTCTCCTTTTGTCAGCCCTCTTCTGATCGCACAATTGGGAGTTACAGATCTGAGGCAGATCCCAAGAGACAGAGAGCTGGTTAACCCACCTCTGAGCCTTGGTACTAATATTACTGAGCCAGGAGCAAGTTGCAGACATGCCCAAGGGCAAAAGACTGTGTTAAGTAGAGTACACCTCCAGCATGAAATGCACAACTGAGTTTCCTTTCCATACTTGGACAAGCTACACATTAAGAATACCCTAAAACTGAGCATCTTTTAGGACAAGCTTTTTAATTTATTGCATACATCTTGTGAAATGAGGGAAATCTTCCTTAAAGAGAAAAATTCACTGAAATTTATTACACACTCTTAAAAAGCAGAACCTGGTCTCAGTCTCACTTGCAACAGTCCTTGTAAAGTTGATTTGGTGAGCCAGGGCATTACCAGGCCTTCAGAGTGGAAAGTGAAGTATTAGAAGTAGCATTATTTTACTTCCGATCTTTCATTTCCAAAAGCACACAGTTCTCAATACCACATAGGAAGTGACTGGTGCAAATAGTCATTACTGTAATTGATTTTGAAGAGAGAGAGTTCATTTCAGTAATCTAAGAGGCAGCCATATATGCAAATTGTTGCTGGTAAGATAAGAAATTAATATCATAAGGATAATTGGCCATGGCAAATCAAACAGTATTAGGAATGAATATCATATTAATAATGACACATTTAAATGAGCAGGGCCTAGCATTTTCTACTAAATGTGTGTTACACAAGTTAGCCCCATTTATCTGCGTAATTTCAGGGTTACTGTAATATATGCTCTACCACTCATTGCTGTAGGAGAGCACTCAGTTGTATATTCTGGGACCAAGATTGGATAAAGTAGATATTAAACACTGGGCTGCATCAGAATCAGTGCAAATTTCTGCAAAACAAATCCCTGATGAGGTATTATCACCCCCATTTTATCAGGGGAAAAAAAAAACAAACGTGTAAAGTGAAGGTCCTGAGGAGGTAGAATTTTTTTATTTTTTTTTCCCTTTCTCCTCCTGTGGCAAGGGTAAACTGTTGCTCCCACACAGACCAAGGATTTACCAGCCTCCCAGCTGACTTTGGGCTACGCAATGTTTACTGCCGCTGGTCCACCCACTTCCACGGGGGAGTTTCGCTGCTGCTGGTGACCTGCCAGCCGGCTGCCTCCCACGAAGCCCTGCATCCATCCCTGGGTGCTGGGCAGCCCTCTGCCCAGCCTGGGTCCAGCTCGCTGGCCCACAGTGCCGCAGTGGCAGGCAGGCCACCCAGCCATCCATCCTCCATCGCCCAGGCTGTGCCTGACCCCAGGGAGGGGACCTGGGACCTCAGAGTCCCCTAAGGATGTTTGGCAGCCTGGGGAAGGCAGTTTCTGAGTCACAGGTAGCTGTGCAGCGAGGGAAGCCTGACCTCTACAGCTCAGTAACAGATTTTCCTGGCTTTTCACACTGCCGTCAGGGTGAAAAGCTAATGGAAAATAAATACTTTCCTTTTTCCCACCCAGGAATGAGCCCTGAGCTAGGGCTCCTTCCCTTCCCCACGCAGCTCCCAGGTCGGAGCGGCTGTGGGCTCCACGTCCACGTCTCCCACCAGCGTGACCCCAGGGCTGTGACCAGCCCCTGGTGCTACCACCTGCCGTGGCTATGATATGGGGACCGCAAACAAGAGCTTTCAGTCTGCAAATAGTGTGTGATAACAGGTTGCTTACACACCCTTTGTCGCACTTGATATAGATTATGTGCCAGGACATCTCTCATGGACTCCACCTCTGCAGGGGACAGCCTATGCACACGCCGATTTTTACTGCTCCTGCAAATAAAACAGAAGTTTAAATATGATATTAATGAGTTGATTAAATACTGTTCCCATGAAATGATGCATGATCTATTTTTAGTGCTAGAACAGAAGGCTATGAAGAGCCTTTCAGTGACCAGTGACACCAAAAAATCATCCAAAGATTAATAAAAAAAGGTCACATTTTGCTCTTTCCCAGGTTTTATCAATATACTGGGTGGTCAGAATGGGCCCTAATCCCTCATACAGCTGGCAGCAGAAACTCTCCTTTTCTTTCTCAAAGATTCATAAGGAAGTTCATATTTGAGGATTAGCTTGGGCAACAACCAGCTATATGTTCAGGAAGACACTGCAAGGTCCCTCCTCTGTCTGAATACGTTCTTCACCATGGTCTAGCAGCCTGAGCCCTGTGGTCCTACTGGTTTTAACTCCTTTGAGAAAGTGCAGCAAATCCTTAAGAACTAAAGTGAGTGTCAGTTAAGGAGGCTGAAAGACCTGCCCTGTGGTGAGGAGAATGTATAGAGTTTCCTTGCTATTGAGCCTGTTTCTCCATTTAAAACGAAAGAACTACGTTTCATTTAAAATGAAAGATAGTCATCTTCGTATTTTTAAGAAACTGTGACAAGAAGCCCACAGTCATTTGTAGCTGCCTGGCTTTTTCACTAGCAAAACAATGGAGGAGGGCTGCTGTGAAATGTTAGCTGGTTTTGCTAAATCAGTCAGTCTCTGTGAGTGTTAGCGTTTGGCTGAATTCCCAAGAAAAGAAAGGGAAATAGATAATGATCATCCAGGATGAATCAGTCCAAGTTCATCTTGTTGTTTCTGGGTTTTTCCTCTCTCCATTTTGCTTTCTTGCCTCTTTTAAAAAATAAAAAAGTAATTGCAAATATTTGTTCTCAGCTAAGTGACGTCCTTGAAGTGTTGTCTGTAAATTCTGCAATTCGAGAATGGATTATGATCAACGTACAGTATTGCCAAAGCTTTGTGTGCATTTATTTTGTACTCCCTTTAAAATAAATTAAAAACCTTTAATGACAAAGGAAGGTGGATTCAAGCAGAACTGAGATTATGCTGTAAACATAGGGAAAAGATTAGAATTTGCAATTACAGCTAGTTTGACAAGATTACCACTGTTTTGTGCTATAATCTAACATGAACATCTTGAAAATTGCAGGGCCATCACGAGCTGCCTGGATTCTACATTTTACTGCCTCTTACCATCAAGTAGACAGTGTGCGCTGGTGGCCTGGCCCTGTCCAAAGTCCCTGGAATATAAGAATTAATTCCTCATATATTTCAACTTTTTGAATGTCTCTTCATTCTGCATCAGACCAAAACTGAGATCTGCCAAATTTTTCATGAAGTAAAAAGCAAGAGAGAAGTTGACAGTAGGTTATGGTGTAGTGTTAGAGGTAGGGCTGGGGTGACCAACCTGGGTTAAGGATCTCACTGAGGCACGAGAGACCCATGAGTCTACCACTCAGCTACTGGCAAGCCAGAGTGACAGAAAAGGACTCTCTGGATTTGCCAGAAATATTATCCTGGCCCTGATAAATCCTTCCCAACAAATGTTTAATTGACATTCATCAATTCTTAACAACAGCAACAGCAACAAAGCTAGGTATTTACCAGCATGGAAAAAAGACCATCACCACCACCCAGTTGGGTGGGTTGGTTGGTTTTTCACTTGCTGTCAGCTCTCAGGGATAACACTGAGAGGAACCAGGGATGTCACCAAGTTTCCAGGCTTAGGTGTAATGCACCTTTATTCCATACTGGGTCTGGCGTGTCGCAGACTATGGGACAGCCCGTGTATGCTTCTTTCCATAGCAAGGAAACCAGTCTCTTTGCTGTCAGCAGCCCCTAGCTGCTGTCCCTTTGGACAACAGAAAGATCCTAGGTACATGTTGGAAAGCAAACACAAGCACAGCCCCTGAGGACTAATGGCAATCTAGTGTGTCAACGAGTAGTGGTCTATAAAATGCAGGCTTGGCTCATTTGTGCAATGCAAATCGAACTGATACAGTTGATGCATGCAGCTTTGACATCATAGAGAATAACTGCCGCTCTGGTCCGCACTTCACTGAATTTCCCCACAGGGTCTTTATACCTTATACCCCCTGCTGGGAATAAACAGGGGAAAGCAGAACTCCACTGGGAAGACATCAGATCATCTCTTTACTTTTCCAGTTGCGTACCTGACCCCCTCCACATGCCAGGACAGAAGTGGCCAGTCCTAAGTCATTTAGAGGCCTATCAGTTTGCGCTTAAAGTGACTTAAACAGAATAAATAAAATTCCCTGAGTTTCAGTTAAGCTGGGATAGTAAGAGAAAAAAACAGCCTGAAGATAGTGTGTATTGTTCTGGAGCACGAATAAAAAATGTGTATTCTTTTCATGGGATTAGATATTAACCTACCCAATGGATAACAATGCACAGCTATGGTAAAAAGGAACAGATTGCTTTTACATTTTGCAATACACAATGTATTAAAAAAGAGCTCTCAAAAAAACCCAAACAAGTTTGGTATGTTACCAAATCCATAAAACAATCCTTATTGAAACTATTTCTTTGTTCTTATTGAAACTTCCAGCGTGTTACAACAAAGCAGGGCACAGGAGATATATTTGTGAAGACAATACTGAAATTATAATATGCTATGAAAACTGTCTCTCTGTAATGAGTACCGTGACAGTATCTCTTTCTTCTTTAGACGTGGAGATAGTTGATACATGGCGGAAATAAAATGCCTTCCACAAACCTTGTGAGATTATTTTTTTATAATATCTGCTTGGCTCTGCTTTTGCCATTTCTATCCTTATTTCTAAGGCTTATAGTCTCCAAAACATCATAACAAAATGCTCTATTTTCATTCAAATGTGCACTCTTTGTTGCACAGTCCATGGGCAAATTTCTCCAGTCTGCACTGGAAATACTCACTGCATATGGGACATCCACTCCACCTCCAGGGATCACACCAGCGGGAATGCAATTGCTGAGAATAATGTTAATTCACAACGATGGAGATCTGCTTTGATTGTTATAGAGCATTTCCCCTCTTGTGCTTAAAGGCTGTAGAACTAATCAGAATTGCTAGTGAGAGAGTTTTCTCACTACTCTGGCACTGCACATACTGCTTTCCGTGCCATACGTTGGAATTTTATTTCAAATCTCCACTTGCTTATAGCCAGATTTTTGTATCCTCGCTAAAGTCAGGGACTTTAGGTACAAGCTATCTCAATTATAACAATCAAACAATTTACAAATAAATTTAGAAACCTTTTAGTCTTAAGCAGGTTCACTTAGTTGCTCAGGAGAACAGAGTTATAAGAACTACTGCACTGGCTCAGACTAAAAATCCAATAACTAGCTTACTAGCCCATCTCCTCTAGTGCTCAGCAGCGGACACCTATCAATGAACAGAGCTGGGAAAACATATTTTCCTAGAACACTCTCACAGCCTCCAAGAATCAGAACATTTCTGAGCCACGGGCTGCACTCATTTTTAGAAAGGCTGTCTCAGTAGGAGAACCTGTGCATCAGAGATTGATGCACACTAAAATTCAATTACAGCCAGAGTAGAGCTGGCAAAAATTAGTCCATCGTATCATCTGTTTATTATAGAATATTTTTCAATCAATTTCTCAGCTCAGGAGCGAATTTCTGAACTATGCTGAAGCAATTTGTCTTATTTTCTCTTTCCCGAAAGAAAAGGAGTGTGGTTTGATTGCCATAGATTGTCTACCAACCTTGCACATTTTCTCTTGGCTCAGAACAGTTAAGGGAATACAGCAGACAGAAAGGAGCCTGACAGACACACAGTCTTTTTTAATATCATCCGTTCAATAAAGAATGATTTAGAAAGAAAAGCGCTAGGTCTTACGCTGCATGTTGACCTCAGTTTCAGGTTAAAAGAAAGCAGATGAATCTTGACATGATTAAGTCAAAGTTTTAAGAGAGATTTTAATTTAATGTCCAGTTGGTATTTGGACTTTCTGGTATGGGTTGAAATGATCGTTCAGAAAATAAAATATGCTGGGCCCTGCCAGAGGCTGCTGCAAAATGGAGGGGGGTTGAAATATGCAGCAGCAGAGAGCAGGGGGTAGCAGCAACAGCAGCCAGCGGGAGCCTAGGAAAGAGTTTGTGGGGGCAAGTGCCATTAGCAGTACCCACACTCTGGACAGTGGGTTGCAAGGTGAGGATAAATACATGCACAGCAGTTAAAGTACGCAGGAGTGAAGATTTGTACAGACTTCTCTCTTAGAGGGTAGTTCCCTCACTGGCGGCTCTGGAGATCCCACCAGTTTTGTCCCCTGGTCGGTCTGATGAATTACTGTTTCATAGAATCATAGAATCACAGAACGGTTTGGGATGGAAGGGACATTTAAAGGTCACTCAGTCCAAGCTTCCTGCCATAGGCAGGGACATCATCAACTCGATCAGGTTGCTCAGAGCCCCATCCAACCTGACCTTGAATGTTTCCAGGGATGGGGCATCTACCACATCTCTGGGCAATCTATGCCAATGTCTCACCACCCTCATCATAAAAAATTCCTTCCTTATATCTAGTCTGAATCTACCCTCTTTTAGTTTAAAATCATTACCCCTTTGTCCTATTGCTACAGGGTCTATTAAAAAGTCTGTTCTTATAAGCCCCCTTTAAGCATTGAAAGGCCACAATCAGGTCTCCCTGGAGCCTTCTCTTCCCCAGGCTGAACAACCCCAACTCTCTCAGCCTGTCCTCACAGCAGAGGTGCTCCAGCCCTCGGATCATCTTCATGGCCTCTTCTGGACTCGCCCCAACAGGTCCATGTCCTTCTTGTGCTGAGGACCCCAGAGCTGAAGGCAGTACTGCAGGGGGGTCTCACCAGAGCAGAGCAGAGGGGCAGAATCCCCTCCCTTGATCTGCTGGCCATGCTGCTTTGGATGCAGCCCAGGCTTCATTTGGCTTTCTGGGCTGTGAGCCCACATTGCCGGGTCATGTCCAGCTTTTCATCCACCAGTACCCTGAAGTCCTTCTCCTCAGGGCTGCTCATAAATATTTAATTGGGCAAATATGGTATGGAAGTACCAAAATAGGGGAAGACAGTTTGACGGACTGCAAACTGAAGTAGCAAAAATTGCAAATGTTACAAGGAAATCTGCTCTCAGTAAAAATTTGTGATTGGGATAATGGAGTCAGGACCTGCGCTCTAAGCTCTCCTGCAGGTCTCAGCACCTAGCAGTGATGAGCAAAACCCAATGGCCAGCTAAGTGGCAAATATGGCCACCTTGAACCACTGCTGTCACTTAAAGCAGCCAGAGTGGCTTCCGTGCCTGACTCATGACTCCTTCAGAACTGCCCATCATTGAAGAGAAACAGAGAAAAGGTCCCTGGTTTTAATTTTCACCCTGTGAACAAAGAGCCAAAGTGCAAATATGATGAGCACCAAATTGCCAGCACAAACCAGCAGCTTCTTTTTTCATAACTGTCTTTTTTTTTTTCCTCACACTTATATCGAAGTCATGAAATCCCTTGGGTATTTTCTCATTTTTGTGCCCTTCCTTCCTGTCCCTACTCTGCAAAGGCTCAGGGGATCAGTACTCACTGTAAAGAAGCTGTGGATGATTTTGAAATTTTCATGGCACTCTCAGCCATCTCAATGGCCAGTTTTATCTCCATCTTTTTGTACAATGACACAATGCTGGATTTGGGCTGGTGTTCCCGAATTAAGATTTTCTTCAAATACTTATTGTCAAACTTCTTAAATCTGCAAAAGAGATATTAAAATCAAAGTGTAAAAAAAGGAAATGTGTTTTTATTTCTGTGGTACAAGCTGATCTTCATTCAAATGCACACACATATAATTCAGTTATGGAAACTGAATCCAAATTGGAGGCACCTGTGGACTGCTGAAGGCCTAGTGAGCCGAGACCTTTAGGAGGACATTTGGCATGGTCTGCTGGTCCACAGAGATTGCAAAGCCCACCAGACAAAAGAAAGAAACAAGCTGCAATCAGAGCAAAAAAAGAGGACTGGGTGTGTGTTTGCATATAACACCGCCATTTGTCAGAAAAAAATATGGCCAGTTTCCACGCTTAGAAAGAAACAAGCTGCAATCAGAGCAAAAAAAGAGGACTGGGTGTGTGTTTGCATATAACACCGCCACATTTGTCAGAAAAAAATATGGCCAGTCTCCACGCTTTTATACAAATGTTGTATTCTAGTAGGGCATAACAGCAGCAGCTGCTCTTACAGTAATCCTGGTCTATTCAGGCAGCCAGCAATGAGGCTCTAAATGGCCCAGCAGTTACAGTGGTTTGGGCCCATTATGTTGCTGATAATTTTGAATCCTGACAATTAGAGCAGACAAAATACATTTCTCTGTGTTCTGAATAACAGAGAAATTGAATGGACCACAAAATACTATGTGCTCGCATGCTGCAGATTGTACAATATCGTTAATGCGTGGCATAATTCGAGTGTGAATGTGTGTGTGCGCTTTGGAACAGGTATGTGGGTTCAGGCAGACGTTTAGCAGAACAACAGCAGATCTTCTTGTATGTTTCTTTCAAAGGAACAGTTTACCACAGCAAGGTAATGTGCTCCACAATGCTAGGAAAAAAAGCACTGCAAAGTTTGTACATGTTTTCTTAGCAAAGGCTAGTTTTTATACATTAATAGCAGAGAGGTACGCAAATGTTTCCACTGGGATTAGAGCTTTTTATGTTTTCCTGTGTAACAGAAAGCCTCCTGGAGTGTCATCACTTAGGTAATTAATTCTGATATACGTATGCTAAAAGCCTTTAAAGTTGCATAGAAAAATCTAGGGAATAGCTTTTAATACAAGGTCCCCTAGAGCTACCTCTGCACCGAGAGCCAAGAGGACATTTTAGCTTCTGGGTCCCAGTATGTGCCCTAGCACATTACATCATGACTCCTCGGTGGGACAAGAACTGGATGCAAACCACTCTTAATTCCTCTTTTCCATAGGGAGAAACCCAGTCATGAACCGAGTTGCCATGTGTCCTGACAGACCCCCGTAGCTGGATTACTGGGGCCCAATGCTGAAAGGTGAGCCAGAGGACCCCAGCACAGAAGTCTAGGCATAGCTAGGATAACTACGGATAACTTTTAGCCCACAGCATCATAATAAGATGTTTGTGGGAAGGGAAGATTAGTCTCTCCCCACACTTCACATGCTGCGGTGACGACCAACATGATCACAGGGCTCCCTTAGGGAAAAGACAAAAGGAACGGCAGCTCGGAATGGGAGGTCCATCTTTTCTGGGAAGTGCCTGGAAGAGCTGCAAAGCTTCACAAAGCCACCTCATCCTGCTTATAGAAGACACAACGCAGGTCCTGTGTTTCTAAGTGAAGACTAGCTTGAGAGTATCTGCTTATGCTACTGGATATTTAAATTCAATCATTCCCTTCAGTACTCTTATTTTAAGTATTACTGAATGCAAAGACCTGTAAGGACAGGTGACTAGCTATTATTGAATCTGTACTCACCAACAAGGGATGGTATTTGCTGTGGAGGCCTACAGCAGAAGTCAGTGAAGCGCTGGCACTTTAGATAGCTTCTGTTCTAAATCCAGACCTAAAGGAGCACTGTCACAGATCCGAAGTTTGTACCAAAGCTATGTGCACAGGCTGATGTCTGCAGCATGAGTTCCTGTGCTATATTTTCTTTCACAAGGCTTATTTTCTGCTTGTTTGTGCAGAAGCAATTTCGTCGGCGATATACAAGCACTGCACTCCCAAGAGATGATGGTTACTCAGGAGTTCACTTTTTAAAAAGAGATATTGCGTACATTCCCATTATTTTCGTGCTTTATGGGGCACTAGGTTGATTTCCTATTCTATTTACCTATTGTATTTTATATGATAGATAGGTTATTTTATTAAAGTAAGCTGCAATAAAAGATGCGTACTTATCTCTCAGTTGATAATGACTCCAATGTCCACATATGTCTTCAATACCAGCCTTCAAGTGATCCATCAACTAGAGAAACAAACATGGAAAAATTTTAAGTGGCCATTATGAGAAAATAATGTCACCACAAATACTCAATTGTTGACAGGATTTTGAGATTTTTTTATCGGAGGATGTGAGTTAATTCTGAAAGCATCTACATTTCTCTAAAAATCAAGGCAAAGATCCCACTGTGGCAGTTCCTATGCTTGGCTGCAGTGGCAATATTTTGATGGAGGTGACAAGTCTGTCAGTCTGCTACGTCTCACCATCACCCAGCAACATATAGGCCCAAGTAAAGGACTATGTCCAATGGAAGATGATACTGAGCAACCAGATTTCGTGGTCCTCTTTGTCTACTGAGACCAAAAACTAAATTCTTGGTTCTGTCAACCAAGTTTCACTTCTGCATGCCTGACCTCCCTGAGAGGGGCACAGGGCCAGGTACCCCACACCTTAACCTTTGCCTTGACTGACAAGTCCTCTGAGGATTTTGCAAATTGTCATGAAACTGGTAAATTCATCATTGCTAACTACCAGGATTTTCAGTCATCTTTTCTGTGTTTCTGGCATTATAGCAACAGACAGAAAAACGGCCAGTTCTTACATACATACTGTTCTGAGTGGTCCTTTTAAACATAAATTCCTTTCATGGTTAAGTGTAAAGGTTGAAATAGTAAGAATTAAATGCACTTCAAATTCAAATCAGTTGAGATGCTGTAATTTTGCTAATGTCTCTGCATGTGCTTAATTTTAAGGCCCAGTGTTTCCGTTAATTTTGAATATATTCCCTATTGTGAAAATGAACGCATGTACGTATATTTTTTATAGTGTTGTTAAGTCAATTTGAGCCGCTTTCTGTCATTTTATATGATGGTAATTTGAGAGCCAAAGTAAATGTTTGAAAGGGGAAAAGATCATTACTCAGAATAACTTGAAACTAAATTTGCAGGCCAATGGTTGAACTCATTTCAGTTCAATAAAACTTGACTAAAGACTTTAACGTGTCAGTGTGTCTAGAATCAGTCAGAAGATGGCAACAAAGGTATCTGAGAAATCTAGCTGGGAAGGATGAGGAGTGCATTTTGTAAACGCTACCTTTATGTTTCTGTCCTCCCCTGGTCACAAGTGTCAAGAATTAAGGGCCCTGCTACACCATGACACTTGTGGTACAATATTATAATATGATAGTCACCATGAATATAAATGAGATATCATATTTTAGAAAATTATGCCTAGGGTTTCTTCCAAATGTTGTGAAAAGCATTAGGGTCCAAACCCACTGAATGCCAGTGTTACCGAATGCCTCCCTCTGTCCAGCTCTTTTGGGTTACCCTTTCTCTTCTTTTTAGGATACCAGCTAGTGAATATAAAAAACTTACTCGCACATGAATTTCTTCATTGATAGACTCCTTTTTGTTGGTCTTTTTAACATCTAGATATCTGACCAATGGACCAATTGTGATTCCCTGCATTTGGAACAATGAGTTGAAATGTTAATTATCTTTTAGAAAAAAAAACAGAAAGAAAGCAAAAGGATTTCATTTTAATCAATTAGGAAAGCTGTGTCTTAGACACAACTATGATCTATTACTTGTATGGAGAGCTACAGAAGAGGATTAAAACTCAAAAACTTTAAAAAAAATGACAAACAAGTTATTTTCAAGTGACATTGTATTTATCGACATGTTTTAACTGTGTAAAGTAACTGACTCATTGCCAGCCTTCTTCAAAACAGAACTTACTTGAAAGAAAACATTATCTTTGTGAGGTTCTTACAATCTTGAAACTTCTTACTTCAACATTTTCAGAATTAATTTTTTTTTTCACTTAGAAACCATTTTCAGCTATTCACAATTCTTTACTGCATTGCTACAGAGTAGCATTTTAAAAGGGCAAATAGAAAGAATTTTTTTTTCTGAAACTTTCTAGTGGAATCTAAGTGCCTAACCACAAATGCATTGGCATTGGCCCCATTGGCACCCTAGAGTATCTGAGATATTGATATGGGAAAATACAGAACATGGGATATAAGACCTCCAGAAGATTCAGTTCTTCCAGATATAGCAGTGTAAGCCAAGTGGAATAACCCAAACATCTGCAGTAGGCACCTATTCTTATAAATCTGAATTATTCACTTTATTTTTCTTTAATATCCTTTTACAAAGGATTTAAAAATGTTCTCATTTGGTCCCTAAGATGAAGATAAAAGTAAAAAATTCAAAATCCTTCATAGGACAGAGATTATTTTCTGTTCAGTTTGAGATACACCACTAGTAGAGAACAATTCTGTACTGAAGTGTAAAGTTAAAATGCTTCTTTATTTGAAAGCATTACGAAGCACATGTGGAGTGAACTTAAGAGATTTTGGACACAAAGTGACCTTTTCCCTGAATATTTTAGAAGACACAGGTTTTCAATACAGACTTTCTGAAAAAGTTATTTAGTAATACCTTAAAAGCCCCAAGAGTGTAATTACACAGTGCAGTGCTAAATCTGGCCATAAAATACGATCGCTTGCCCTACTTTAAGAGTAAATTCAATGCAATCTTCACTGTGAAGCTTTCAGTCACCTCTATTACATGAAAGCAGTGCATTAAGAAATACACTTACTTGGATGAACACGGTGAAATATATAACTACAAGAGTAGCAGTAATGAACAATTTTTTTCTTGGGAAGAGATTCACTGGAAGCAAGAATGCAAGAGAGAAGCTGCTGGCTCCTCGAAGGCCGCTGTAGGAAATAATGAGTTGGTCTTTGAAGGTGAAGGGATATGTTCGGAACTTGTTACTGATGTAGAACAGAGCAAATACACCTAGGAAAGGAAAAAAGCACAACCATTTATTAATCACTGAGAAAAGGAAAATATTTAAAGCAAACCATCTGGCATCTTGGCTCAGGCAGCTGTTGACAAACTTTTGTTTTCAATTTTGGGTTCTTGTAGCTTCCCTGACCAGCTGCTGAATCTGTTTCGTGTGAAACAATCTCCTAGAAAAGACCGTAGCTCCTAACTGCTTCGGGATTTAAACTCAGTTACACACTTAGAAGTGAGATTAAGGGACAAGATTTATTTTTTGTATTTATGTTGCACAGTTCTTCTCCAAAGTGTTCTGGAGACAAGACAAACCACTGGATGAGAGTTCTCCCTGTGCCTTCCCTTGCAAAGTTTCCTGCTTTCTGCACAGTATCTGCCCAAAGTGTTTGAACGGTGCTTTACCAACATTCCTGTGGACAGGTTCACTGAAAGGCAAAGAGTAATAGCATTTTAATTTTTAATCCTCTGGTTTATTGTGTCTCTAATTCTCTGTTTATTTCTCAAATTTCATTTTACTTTTAATAAAAGTTAAAATTAATCAGGCAGCCTGTGGCTGTGTAAAGACTGCAGCTTTTCTTTATAGAGTACATTTAGCAATTTACTTGATTTAATCTTCTTCATCTTCTGTAAGAAACATGTATCCTGTGTTTTGTGGGGGAACTGTTAAATTACTGAAGCAAAAGCTGACAAATGCTGCTAATTATTGGTGTTATTTTACACAGCTGTCAGTGATAAACTCAGTGGATTATTACAGGTAAGGCCAGTAGCAGTATCCTGTTATGTAGGTTGCTGGACATTGCTTTATATAAGACTCTTTTTGGCTACCTATAACTATGCTAGACATCAGCTACTCAGACTGAAGCTGCATATGTGAGGTATCACCCTCAGGCCAATTCTCTTTACTTTATTCAAGCTTCAGAAAAAGATGTAATCATTTTAGCAAACAAATTTAGCAGAAAATATTTCAGCCTTCCTCTGGAAAGCTCTAGTACTCCCCTTGGTGTTTGAGAGAAGGATGGACATGTGGCAGCAAAATAGCTTTTGTATCAGGAGAGTGCTTTTTCGGTCTTGATTGGAAGGGTATTCTAATACAGACTCCGAAAGTAAGTCTTTAAAAACTTAGAGGCCATGTTTGGTCCAGGATTATATAAAAAATATTTAATTACTTTCTTTTTGCTGTCAACCCACAAGAATCGTATCACCTCTACTGTCGAGTACTTGTGTCATCCCTATATAATAGAGTTGTTCAGGTTGCACGTACTTGAACTTTCACAGGTTTCCCCTTTCCTCTTTTTCCTCTAGTTAAATGTCTTCCTCCAGGGGTCCCAGGCTTAAAAGTCTTGAAATGTGTATGGGCTTTGAGGGTCAAGCCAACATCTTTCTGCTCTGTTGTTCTTTCTGACTGAGGGACAAGACACCTGAGAGATTTCAGAAATAGCACCTTACTCTCAGATGTTTGATGCCAACACTTAGCTGGTCCCAAATGTTAGACTCAGGCTGGAAAGGACCTTTGGAGGTCATCTAGTCCAAGTTCCTACTCAAAGCACAGATAATCAGATCAGGTTGCTCAAAGCCCCAGTCAAGTCTTGAATGCCTTTAAGAATGGGGAGCTGGGGCACTGTTACAATATTGGATCACCCTGATGTTAAGAAATGGGTCTAATCAGAATTTCCCGTGTTCCAGCTTGTGTGTGTTGCCTCTTGTCCTATTGCTGTGCATCTCTGAGAAGTGTCTGTTCGCATCTTCTCTTTCTCTCCTCTGATCAAGTATTTGTAGAAAGTAGTAAGGTCTCTCCTGTGCCATATCTTCCCCAGGCTGCATAGTCCTAGCATTCTCAGCCTCTCCTTGTACTCCAGCCTCTGACCAGGTTGGTGGCCTCTATTGCACTTGATCCAGAACCTCCATGTCCTTCCTATGCTGGGGAGCCCAGAACTGGAGAGAGCACTCTGGAGACAGCACACACTTCCACCAGTGCTGAAGAGAGGGGAAGAAACACTTTGCTGAACCTGCTGGCTGCACACTTGCTAATGTAGCCCAGGACACAGTTGGTCTTCTTTGTCACAAGGACGTAATTCTGGCTTGTGTTCAACCTGTTGTCTACCAGGTTCAAAACAGACCCCTATATAGCATAGGCAAGGAGTGCTCACACCCCTAACACAGTGACTGTAGATGCTGAGGAAGAAGCAGGAGGTGAAGAGAGCTCAGAGAGTGGCCAGGCTTGCAAGCATCTCCTGCAGGCTCTGCTGGAGACACTGCTAGACCCAGTAGGTCATTCCTTCTTTTCTTATGTCAGCTAGAGTGTTGGGCTGGACAGTACTAGTGGGTGAGGGAGAAGATTTACGGTTGGACTTGATGATCTTTGAGATCTCTTCCGACCATAATGATTCTATAATTCTAAGATGGCAATGTGTTGCCTCTCTGCTTCCACAGTTGCAGTAAATTGGCTAACAAGCACAAGAGCAGCTCATACGAGAAGTCTGCCATGACTGCTACCACCTGCAGAGCACCACCAGCCTTCTTATTGCTTCTCATTTTTCAATGTTACTGTCAACCCATCCTGGACATTAGTAGAAGATGAGAAATTGTGTCCTACAGCTCATGTAACATCATCTATAAACTGCCCTGCCCATGATGGAGGAATCCCAGTCTCACAGATTATGGAGTAGGAGACTTTTTGGAGGAATAGGGAGATACTGTGTGTAGAAATGGTGTAATATCAAACAGGCAGTCTTTTCTAGCAGTTTAAAACTTCAGAGTTGACTTGTGAGGAGCAGTAGCATAGGGTGGTTGGCCTAGATGTGGTATAAGGAAGGAAACAGAGTCCCTGTTCAGTTATCTATCAGTACTAATTTTCACCCTCCCTCTCTTTCAATGCCTTCGGCACTCCTGGCACAGGACCTGTAGTGTTGTAGCACCAGAAGTGTGGTGATGTACATTATCTAATTAGTAAGTTAATTACAATGTGCGATGAAATCATTATGAAGCCCACTTACTCAAGGGCATATAGTTGACTACAAGATAAGCATCTATATAGGCATAATCATGGTAATATTTTAATTTTGCTTAAAATATTCCATTCTCACCTAATGATTAAGTCTGTGCTTGGAGACCGGCATTCAAATTTGTTTGGGGCTTTTCCCCCCTTTTTCTCCATGTGTAGATTTGTGAAATTAACTTGTCAGTAACATAAGCCTAGTAAATCCATTTTTAAACTGGTTATGCCAGTCTGCTCGGACTTTTCTAACATACCTTTGCACCAAAGGGTTTCTCTCAGAGGTGCAGAGGTTGCCTGCAAAGGCTGACTTACTCAGTGTCCGCCAAACGAGACAGAAGAGCAGAGTGAAGCAAATGAAGGCCCAGTTCCACTCATGGTTTTTTCCCACTGTAGACACTCCCATGAAGATGAAAATCAGGGTCTCACTGACGCTGCTCAGCATCTTCATGAAATATTTTATTGTGGTATAGGAATTCTGGGAAACATTCTCCTCCACATATTTTTTCATCGTCACTGCACATGCTGTCATCCTGTACCAGGCAAAACATCAGAGATCAGCCACAACCTGTTTTTCTTTTCATTTACGAACAACCTCAGCCTTCATTACCTGCACTCTCCATCACCAGCCTCTGACCTTCCTAATATCAAGAAGCATTTTATTTCTTCGGTAACATTAGCCATTTCATTAGATAGAAGAGCATTTTCATTAAATTTTACAAATCCATTTTGCATACAGGAAAAAGGAAGCAAACCAGTCAGCCTTCCTGACGAGGAAGTGAGGGTATCACGTTCCAGTTCAAAGTCCATTTTGTCCTGAATGCCTAATACACAGCCACCAAGCACCAAATATTTGAGCCTCAAACAAAGGGCAAGTCGGTTTTGTACCAGTCTATGGACAGAGCAGTTACAGGGACATAACCTGCCTTTTAGTGATCGTCTCCTTTGAGGTGATGGTGGGAGAACACGGTGGTAGTCCTATGCTGGGGCAACTGGCAGATCCACAGGGCCAGGGTAAGCTTCAGTGATACTCCACCCCCAGCATTGATGTACATCAGTGAGAAATTCAACTATCCTACAGAGGTGTCTTTCCCTCCTTTAGGTACCCAGGGTGTGGGGAATGTGCCTAAGGAAGCAAAGGGATGTTTTCCACCTCTTTGCTGTTCATGAGGACTAGACCCTGCTTTGGAGGCACCAGCAGCTGTCTGGCACAGACACTAGTAACCATCACATGGAGCAACCGTCTTTGAGCAGCCCTGTTGAAGGGGGTTTCCTCTTCCCCTCTTCGTTTACCACAGTCATAGGTAATAGATTGACTGCTATGCCAGTAACATATTCCATCATCTATCTAGTTTCTGCTGATATTATTTTAGTCTTTGGGGGCTTCTTGTGATGATATTTTTCCAAACTTGTGAATTCAGAGAACGCTGACTGTTCATTAAATAAACCTTCATCTGGTTTCTGCTCATTTAATTTCCACTGAAGAAATCTCAAGGGTATTCTGGTGAAGCTGAGACATTTAGCAGGTCCAAGGACACTCTAAGACAAGGCCATTAGGTATTAATGTTTAATACTGTTGACTTTCAGAGACACATGCATAATAGACTTTCATAATCCAAGTGAAAAATGAATGAATTCCTCAATAATTCAGAAGGGTGACAATAAGTTCCCATCCCTAAAACAAGCAATAATTTCCTTAATGAAGCAGTAAGAATAATAAATCCCAATTATATTAACATTCTTTTATTACCAATAATTTCAGCACTGTAATGAAAATAAGAAGCCAAAGAAATAAAGAGCTATATAGTCTAGTGTAATGAATAGGTAGGGAAGAAGTATTTTGGGCAGTGCAGGTAGCAAAGGGTCCATACAGACCATAGTGCTCACTACACAGCAGGTCTAATCCTGCTCAACTAAAGTCACCAGTCACCTCAATCGGAGCAAGTGTGTTGGATATGCAAAACATAGTACAAGACTCATCTGCTTTGTCTAATTGCTCAGAAAAACACCTCCTGTCTAACTGCTTATTTAGCATGGTTAAATATTCAAATATTTCTTCCCAGGGACATCCTGCAAAGGTTGTTTTTACAAAGCTAGTTCTGCTCTGAAGCTGAACAGACTGAGGTTGTTTGGCCTGGAGAAGAGAAGGCTCTGGGGAGACCTTATTGTGGCCTTTCAATGCTTAAAGGGGACTTATAAGAAAGATGGGGACAGACTTTTTAGCAGAGCCTGTTGCAATAGGACAAGGGGTAATGGTTTTAAACTGAAAGAGGGCAGATTCAGACTAGATATAAGGAAGAAGTTTTTTACGGTGAGGGTGATGAAACACTGGAAGAGGTTGCCCAGAGAGGTGATAGATGCCCCATCCCTGGAAACATTCAAGCCAACACAGGCCATGCGAGGCTGCTGCCACCTACCAGCTGGGCATGGAGCCACCAGCAGCCAGCAGCATTTACCACCATCAGGTTCCCATTTCTTTACACTTTACCCTGCTGAGGGGCTGTTTGCTCTGGTATCTTTGAAATTCACCTACCAGCACTTTTCTTGTAAAGTCTCTCACTTCCACCCCATTCCTTCCTTTCTTTTCTGACTCCTTTCCTGCCGCCGTCCTTTTTCCTTCCCAAAATACTCACCCTCTCCACATTTACTTCAGTCGACAGACCTGACAGCTTTCTCTCTGCAGCGGGTACTCAGGCCATCACAGCACTTTAAGGAAGCAGTCCTCAGCATTACAGCAGTATTAAGCTATCTTGATCACATCAAAATATGATCAATATCCATATACAGGAGTATACGTATGCGCATGTGCCTAATGTTCTCAGTTGCCTGGTTTTGCCCAGTTTTAGTCCCAGTGACGCTGTTCAAATGTAATGTAATTCCAGTAAATTGTGTTAGAGCTGATATTCACGGCTGTGTACAAAAGCAAGAACTCAGATGTACTTTATGATGTTTTCCATAGTCATTACTTTTCATCTCTCGTAACCTGATGGTGATGCTGCTTAGAAATAAATACCGATACACTGATCTATTACCAAATCATTGCCTCATTCTGCCAACCTTATCACAAGTAGCAGCCATCTGGTAGCAGCACTAGTCATTTTACCCACGGCTTGCAGTATTTTTACCAACAGGCAAAAATCTAAAAAAATTTCAGAGTAGATATGCACACCTCAGTAGTACCTCTGTGCCTACGCTGAGTTTGCTTTTCCTAGTTACCACTGCATTTTACAGACCCCTTAGAAGCCCTCCACTGCAGGTCTCTAGGCCAGGGACTGCAAATGCCTGTATTGTACCAACCTTGAGCAAATCACCTCCTCAAAACACTGCCACTTCCCTCAAGAGGGCATCCAAAAAGCCATAAGGGATACTCACGCCAAAATGCCCGAGATGTAAAGGGTTTCAGCGGACAAGTATGACAGGTAGCTGAACATGAAGACCAGCAGAGGTTCAATAGCAGAAATGTTGTGGGTGAATCGAGTCATGAGCGCTGAAACAATTCCAAAGACGATGCCAAACAACATGCCGCCCAGCCCCACCACGAAGAAGCGAGCGAAGCCAGCAAGAACGTCGATGGATTCGATTTCTTCATACTTGTGCATCTGCGTGAAGGCGATGAAGATGTTATATAAAACCTACATGTGAAAATAAGGAGACAGCAGTCAGGCATCTTTCTGAACCTGGAGGCTTACTCATTTCATAGGAGGGGGGATGTGTGTCCATGTGTGTGTGCATATATATATATATATATACACGCATATGTGCCTGAAATTGCTTTAGACAGCTCAGCAAAGTAACAGTTGAAGTCTCAGCTGGTTCTTAACAAGTCCCAGAATTAAGGGTCTGTTAAGTGTCCTGAAAAACAGCAAAAAAAAAAAGGGTAGATGGTTATGTAATAAGAGTAAAACTCTGGGCGATCAAATGCAATTGAAGTAACTGAAAAATGCTCAAGCTTTTTTGTTTTCTGAAGTTAAACTTAATTATTGGTCTTTGTAGCAGATGTTGAAAGCCCAGCTGGGTACCTTACCAACCCCAGGCTCTCCCCTCCACATTATCTTTCTGACTCAGGATGAGGCAGGGCAGGGCGGCAGCTAAGAATCACACTTTTGATTTAAATCTCATTTAGGTTGTACGTATGATCAGTAGACTGGGCATACTTCGTTAGATGGACTCTGGAACGCTGAATGTTTTTCAGTAGTACTTGATGCATAAAAATCATGAAACATCACTGGGAATGGGAAAGGAAGCAGGAGAGGGAAGGGAAGGGAAGGGAAGGGAAGGGAAGGGAAGGGAAGGGAAGGGAAGGGAAGGGAAAGGAAAACGGTAGCCTCAGTTTCATATTGTCTCTAGCTAGATAAATACAGCCTCTCTATCCTCACATGTTTTGAGTTTGATGCCACTTAAGCTCCTTCCCAGGAGCTCTGTGTCAATCTCAAAATAGGAACCAAAAGCTGTGGCACTCTAAATGGCCTAAAGACCCTTGACACATATATTTTAACTAGAAAGCTTGAAATGACAAAAAGAAAAAGAAAACAATGTCAGATTAGAAGAAAGATTGAATTTGCTACATTGTATAATTTGGTCTGTAAAGATAATTTTTTTAGTTCGGAGCAGATAAGTTTACCATACTTCTATTACCAATAATATATTTTCTGCAGAAATTCATGATGAAAAATCTGCAGTATATTCCACTTTTTCATCCATCTTTTAGAAACAAATAGAGAGTTTCAACAGTAATGAGTGGTGTATTAATAAAAAGGTCTTAGAGGTTGCTGACAGTCGGTTGACATTAAGTCCTATCAGATCTGTTTAGAGGGAATGTGTAACACGTGAAAGTCACCTTTCAGTTTTCAGGAAAATTTGGGGAACATCTAAAGACACCAGCTCTCCAAAGCTGTTGCACCAAAGCATTCGTTCAAAAAGGCAAAACAGACCAAAATCATTTGCCTTAGCTGGTTTTCTTTAGTCTTTCTTCTTCATGTAGTTAATTCCAGAAGGCTATTAAAAAGATTAAAGCAGATATTTGCAGGTAGAAGAGTCAAGCTCATTAGGATAATAATTATTCCCCAGCTACTATCTAATCTTAAATTGCTGCTGGGAACATATGACCTTGAGCTGTCACACAGACTGTTCTCCAGGAGCCTCGTTGCTAATGTTTCTGGGGGACAGGCAAAGCACAACAAAATGTTTCATGTGAGAAAATACCCAGAGCTGCTTTTTTCTGACGACTATGTATGAAATTAGGCTTTTCAGTGGCAGATAAGGAAAAGAAGGTTCATGTCTCCACAGTAAGTAAACATTACTGTACTTACCATATAGCTTTTGATTACAAAGCCTGTTTACTCTCTGTTCCCCGTTTCTTGCAGACTTCAATCTCTTCCTAAGACTTGTGATACTTTAGAAATGATACCAAGGCATGAATCTATGCTGACCTATGAATAAAGCAAATTATCTGCAGGAAATGACCTAGTAAGTTTTTCTCCCTTTTTCTAGTTCCTAAAGTGTCTATATGATATAACCGAATTGGCATTGAAATGGAAATTATGGAAATATGACATAATTTCCATTTTTTTGTAACACGCTTTGTGGGAGTAAACTGTTCTGTACAACATCCTGCACTGTGTCATACAAGTAAGGCTCCGTGTCACTGCCGCTTGGCTAAGTTACATCGTGGTACTTGTAGAATCATAGAATCATTTAGGTTAGAAAGGACCTTTAAGATCATCAATTCCAACCATTAACCCAACACTGCCGAGTCCACCACCAAACCATGTCCCTAAGCACCACACCTACATGTCTTTTAAATACCTCCAGGAACGGTGACTCCACCACCTCCCTGGGCAGCCTGTTCCAATGCCTGACAACCCTTTTGGGGAAGAAATTTTTCCTAATATCCAATATATACGTCCCCTGCTGCAACTTGAGGCTGTTTCCTCTCATCCTGTCACTGCTTACTTGGGAGAAGAGACCGATCCCACCTCGTTACCAGTAAATGGAGTACTATCATTCTCTATATGGTGGGAAAGCCTGAATCAGCTTAGGATGCCTTTGTCCACTCAAGAAGAAGGGATGGATTGATAGTTGGTCTCATTTAACAACTCTGGAAATGTCATGCTTTGGGTTTTTTGGAGGGGACATTACCATGTAGTGATGTACACTGGGTGGCTGTTAGAGCCAGGGAGGAGAAGAGAGAGCACAACTTTGTCACTCACAGGGGAGAGGACTGGTCCCTCCTCCAGCTGTCCATACGATACAAACATTGCACATACCATCCACATCAGAAGCACCGGAAAAAAAATTTTCAAGTGACTGCCTTAATCACCAACACAGGCAGCCTTGATAACTCTTTCTTTCCACCCTGTTAACTCTTTCTGATCACATGCATTTAATTTTAGTCTAAACACAGCGGGTCAGTTTCAACAGCAGGAGCAGAGATCATCTCCATCCTTCTTCCTAGCACCCATACATCCCAGTGGTCAAAGTCTTTCTCAGCGACACCACAGAGGTAAATTAAAACCCCTCAAATAAAGAAATTAATTTTACTGGGGTCTCCATCATGCAGTAGATTTCTTTAACTGCTCTGCCCCTGCTCACAAAGAAGAGAGAGCACCATTAGAGAAAACAGGCACTGCTGCTTCATTTTGAGTACAGCACGATGTATAGGTGTTCTCAGTGTTTCTAAAATCAAGCCTCAGAGATTAAGTAGTTGGGGGAAATATTCTGTTTCCTGATGCACACAGGTGCTCAGCTCCTGTTGAGACAGAAATGGTCTGTGTACATGTGGGAGCAGAGCTTCAGATGTCTGAAACACTTTGCAGCAAAACCAGGGTCCTCCACCTGCGTTCAGGTTTGAATGAAATCTGCACTGGATTTACTAAGATCACTGTTTTGAACAAGGCTCTGAAACTCCACTAATGTATGACACACGCTAGGAACAGTCCTGTTGCTGCCTGTGCTATTCTGATGCTAACAACCTGCTCAGAAGCAACTGGGAAAAGCAGCATCTTTAGAACCTGGAGCCTTCTTGTTCCACCCATGGACATGGCCCTACTGAGAAGAATGGGAAAAGGTACAAATGGATAAAAATGGTAAATTATCCACTTTGGTCCCAGTCCCTTAAGTCAAAGGCATAACTCCTAAATGATCATTTTAATTCCACAATCTGTTATTTTGTGATTTTTTTTATACAAGGATATTGAACTAAATATAGGAGAGGGAGCTATTCTTGATTCAAATGTAATACACAGGTTCAGCAAAATTCA